TGACACGTAAATAATATAATACTGATATACGTAAATATTTTTTTGCGAAGGACGGTCTCCTCGCGCAGTGCGTTTTGAAAAGTGCATCGTTCGCGTGACAGTCGGTTTTGCTTTGTGTTTGTAACGGAATGTTAATATTCTGATCAACATATCCTTGCCACTATTATACTTATATGCACTTTACGTGCATTTCCTATAACTTGATGATAGAAATCGGGTGCACAGGTGCGGCAGTCGACGGTCTTTTTTTCGGCTCTCCCAACTGCTTGCGTCCCTCGACACTGTGCTTCATGCCGTACAATACGTATATGAACAGTCCGATCAGCAACCAAATCCCGAAACGGATCCAAGTGTGTATGTCGAGTTTCATCATTAGGTAAATGTTCAACAAGATACTAATGCACGGTATAAGCGGGACCAGCGGCACCTTTGAAAAAAAAGACATGGTCGTTATTATTTCAATATTTTGAAAACCTTCAGAATTCATTAGGTGACTACGAGTGTTTAATTGCATAAAAGTTTGAAAAAAAAAACACAAGTTTACGAAAATATGATATGATTGTTTTCGAATATTGAATAAAATATGGTTTTTTAATTGAACGTATTTTCTAGTATGAGGTTTTAGTCAGTTSTCCACTAGTACGTTGATTYAAACTTCAAATTTCGAATTGCTATAATTACAAAAAAATTCTCAGAAAAGTGTTCTGATCCCGAATTCGTTATTAATTTAAGACGTTAGGTTGTTATTAGACACCTGTAAGATAAAAACGATTAAAAAAAGACATTTTTGTAAAAACTTAATAGGTATAACGGAGAAATGGCTAAAATATGTTATATAGCTACCTATTACACAACTACAGACCAATAATGATTTTTATACCTTGAACGAAAGTTCTTTGGTCGATTGGGGCTGTCTGGCYAGTAATAGCAACAGAAGCAATAGTCCTATGGCTAAAATAGCACTCGAGTACACCACGACGTCGCTACTGTTTTCGGCGCTTTCTTGTTGGACAGTGATGAAGCAAAACAGCGCCGACGTGCAAACTGCAAAAAGTCAATCGGCGCTTTTAACAATATTGTAATATTATGTATAACTATCTGCTAGAATATTTCCGTTTCCATATTATACTCACTGAACCACATGGTGATGATCGTGGCCACGCTCTCAGTCGCTTCGTTGGCGTATTTGATGTTGGACAGGTTGAAGTACCTCACCACCGTCTTGACGACCGTTTCGAAGAATCCGCTGGTTTCCGATTCATCGTTGCCCTTGATCACGAACTCCACGTCCGAGTCGTTCCTGTACCTTAACACCAGTACGCAAATGCATACGATCGAGTACGCCAACAGCGTACCGATCGACATCATGTCAATCAGCTGTTCCAGGTTGAAAATCGCTGACATAATACCTGACGTAAACCAATCGCGTAGAGTCGATATCGCACTCTCCGTTTATAAATCGCACAGTGATAATTATTATATTATTTACCCGCAAACATGCCCGACAGCAAGGTGGCCAATACAGGTGTCTGATACCTTGGGTGAATGTCGGAGAACATGCTAAACAGGAGACCGTCACAAGACATGGCATACAAAATCCTCGGCAACGGAAACATGGTCCCGATGAGACTGTAAAACATATAGTTTATGTGATTAAAATGAATTRAACTATGTGTCTAGACAAACGCATGTCTACCTAGTGAACAGAGCAAAAATAGCACCAGAAGAAACAATCCATTTTATCGTCGTCCAGCCGAGATGATCATA